GAGGGCGCGCAGAGGGCGGGGGGCGAGCGCGGCTGCCGGAGCCCGGCGGTCCTTCCTTCCGCGGGGCCGGGCGCGCCCCCTGCGCGGGGCGGCGGCGGTGGGCGGCCGGGCGCCCCCGCCCCGCTCTGGATGCCCATCGCGGCTGCTCGGGCCGGGGGGTGGCTGCGGCTCCCCGGCGCGGGGCGCGGGCCAGGATGCCGGTGCTGGAGCGCTTCTTCCCCGCGGCAGAGCCGGGCAGGCGGAGGAGGACGGGGGAAGAGCCGATGCCCTTTCCCGTGGGCAGCCTGCCCGGTTATCAGCAGGGAACCCTGGCCTGGGATTTGCCCGAGATGATCAAGATGGTAAAGCTCGTTTGGAAATCCAAGGGAGAGCTCCGCGGGGCGAAGCACAGAGGGGTTCTGGAGAGCGAGGACGCCCTGGGCAGTTCGTCAGGTAAGTGTCCCCCGCCCTGCTGCTCGGAGGAGCGAGGGAGCACACGCAGCTGGGGGCCGCGGCCGGAGCCAGCCCGTCCCGTCGCAGGGCAGAGCCGCCGAGGCCGGGGCTGGAAAGGCGCGGAGTGCTGCCCGTCCGACCGGCGGCCGGGCTGGAAAACGTGCTTTTGGCAGCTCCCTCCCCCGCGGGGACAGGTATACCGGAGTTTGTGCCGGATCTGAAACCAGGTCCATTTGCCGATGGCGCTCTCCCGGTCCAATCTGTTGCGTGGTTTTATACGCAGGGTGATAAAAGCTCGGCTAAAAACTAGAGCAAGTAGCTCCGTGGCTTTGAGGCTGACCTCGGCCAGCCGCTGGGCTGGGTGCCGGCGCGGGGGAGCCTCTCCCCGGCCCGCACGGAGCTCGGCACGGCGGCCCCGCGGTCACAGTGACGGGGGAGCGCAGCCCCGGGGCCGCCGGGCAGCGCGGCCGTAGCGGGAGCTTCCCCAGTTGCTTTCGTCGTGCCTTCCGAGCGCTTGGCCTGTCCTCTCACACCGCCGAACACACACTGATCTTTGCGTGCCCTGGGCTCATATCACATGCTCTGCCCGCCCTTCTCTTGTGCAAAGCGGAGCGACTCCCTTACGGCTTGTGTTGTTGGCCACCGGTATGAAAAGCTTGAGACCAATTCTTGGAGTAACGCTGCCCCGTCCCACTACTTTCTCTTTAAACGTGCTGTATTACTGGCTAAAGAACATATGCTTTTCTGTTAACTGTATAAATCTTGCATGTCAGAATTTTCCTAACTCACCAACTTATGGCACCACATCACGTGATTTATTGAAGTCCAGGTTAGATTTAACTGCATTTTCATTAGGTAGAGACGAATTGTCAGGTTAGCATGGTACTTCTGTTCTAATTCTGCATGTTGACCCATGCTCTGCATTGCTTATGGTTCAAAATGTCTTGCCTTATGTTGGAGGCAACCTCTTGCCTCCTTCAAAACCTCTTGCCTTCTCTTGAATACAGGGTCGTAAGGCTATAGTATCAACTGCTAATGTTTTATTCTCCTGTAATTGTATTACTGTGATTTAATAGACTTAGTGAAACTGTGTGGCTCATTCCTTCAGAGCTCTGCATTATCTCATCTCTGCAACTTGGTCACTAAATTCTTCCAATGCACTCAGGCTTCAAACATTATGTCTTCACCTTCCGTTGGTGTGCCCTTTATCGAGATCTATAATTGACAGTATTTTGTACCAGAATAATTTAATTTCTTAGGTAAAATAACCTCACTGTAGGTATTCAAAGTGCCTGTGTGTGTATGTATATATGTATTCTCTATGTACTTGTATAAATAAACTTGAATATTAAATAAGTATCAGTGTATCACTTTTGAATGCCCGCTAAGGTTGACTGGTTGGCCATTGCATGTTCATTATTTCAGATGTTTGCAGTTTAACCAAAAAATGCTCGGTTCCCTTCTGTTTTGAAAAAGGGAAGATAGTTCTTGGGCTCTGAGGAAGATGTACAATTGGCCACCCCACCCTTTGGGAATCACTTCACCTTAAAAGAATAATAAGTAAGAGTATTGTGGATAATGAAAGAGAAGGTCAAATTGCTCTTTAAGACATGGAGCAAATCAGCTGGGAAGGTACCATAGCCAACCAGGGAGATTGAGGTTTGTGTGGTGAGTGCCGAGTGTTCAGAGATGGACCCTAATCAAACAACCTAAGAAATGCTGCATTGGTTACACCTTATGTATGAGTAATAGTGGTTTTTCAGTGTGCTTGTGTTTTATCTGGTGAAATTACTTTCATTAGGTAACAAATGAGATTCGCCTTCAGATTCCTGGAGGCAACTAAAAATGAGCATGAATGTACAGAGACAGATTAGTCCACTAGCAGGATGTGAGTAACTTGCATTTACTCAAATGACCATTAATCGTATCCTGTGGAGGGACAGTCCTCTTCATGATGCCAGATCCTATTTCATAAGCTCAGCTGACTTACACCAGTACAAATCGGAGCAGAAGATGACTCTTAACTCTCAACTCTTTAAATACGAATCATCAGACAGTTTGTGAACCAGACCTGGGTTGCTGGTTTTTCCTCCTCAGCAACAGTCATCCTAGTAGTTTTCCCTCTTGTGGTTTCATTTTAGTCACTTTAAGTACATTGGAGTATGTGGGAAAACCAGTAAATGCTGAAATCTAGTATACTTTATTAAGTTCAGAGTCAAAGAATGCAGAAATGGGAAGAGAAGATACTCTTTTGGAAGACTCAGTAGTTTGAAGTAGTCTGCTTCATGTTTGTATGGTGTTTTGTACGTGTTTGACTCCTTAAAAAAAATGAACAAAACTGTATCATTTACATGTTATAAAAAAGGCAGTACACAGTTGGGAATCAGATTTTCTTCAAGTGAAGTTAAAGCAAATAACTTCTGCTTGAGGTACTGCTAGCTAGGCAAATAAATGTTGATTGTTCAGTAGTAGAGTTCACAACGCTTTCCACATCAAGGGCTTTTTCATTTGAATTTGTAAGTGTTCATGTGATAACTCATGTCCTGTTATCACATCCTCATAAAACTACTTTGCTTACAGTAGAAGAGGAAATAGATGTGAATTCTGGAAGGAAACTGTCAGGATTTCTGCCTTGCTTGATCATGATAATAGAGATTTAGCTAAGCAAATTTGTTTCCTTGCCTGAGTGATTGGACTGGGGTTTGAAATGGCTTTCAAGAAAGATACAACCCTCTTAACCATAGGTAGCGAGGAGGAAGGAGAGCTATATCTGCACATGATGTGGGTTCTGTGGATGGCAGTGTCTTGGGGACCCACATAGCCATAATTTATACCACATTCCTCTTTCCTGAGGTAGGGGTAGAGAGCTGCTAGAGAGCAAAACTATCTGTGTATCCTGGACTCTCAAATGTAAGAGCTATATCTGGATCTTTCATCTTGTTCAGTACTGAGAATAAGCTACTTAATCTCCCTGCAAAAAAAGTTTTTGCAAGACATCATGCAGCATATAGCTGGGATGAATGAAGAACTCTGATCTCGTAGAGACTGCCTGCCTGGGATGACGATGATTTATTTTCACTGCCAAAGCAATAAAATTCACATCTTGAGCCTTCTTGTTGCACTGCTTTTTAAAGTTAATATCAGTTAAAACTACAGAGCTTTCTCCTGCTCCTGGCCTGCTGTTGCTTGGTAACTTTTTTTTCCCCATTTCAATCCCTGACCAAATCAGCACAAAACTGTGATTTGGTGAAGCCTCTCTCTGGCTGTACCAGAAGCCATTTTGGTGGGGAATTGGTATAATTCGATATCATTCCTTACAGTGTTTTGAATAGATTACTTGCAAGCCAGTCCTTTTGACTTGATTAAAATAACAGCAAATGTTGATTCTTATCTGAAACTAAGTTGATCTCTAGGAGGGAACTTTGTTCTGTTTATGACCTAACTTTTTTATCACTCTTTCCTAGAGTTCAGCAGTATCTTTGCAGATTAAACAAACCTGATTGGGGAACGGGTACAGGTTCGCCTCCAAGAGTCTTCCTTATGAGCATTAGCAACCTCCTAAACTTGCAGTGATCATCCCAGATAACTCCAGAGAGACTTTGTGTGTTGAGTCTTGCACGTGTGCAGACATGCAAGACTTTCAGAGAAGGTGCAATGCTACTTTAGAATTACCAAGGTCTGTTGAGAACACTGGGTTTTTTGAAATAACTCTGAATGTTTTTTTCCACTTATCTCTCTCTGTCTGTACATATTTTCTCAGAAATGTAGGTTCTGATTCATGAATGCATCACACTTCTTAACTGATGAGTCCCTTTGCCATGAGTAGGAAAAACAAACCAGTACTGCACATCACTCCTATTACAGTTTGCTTCTGGGAAAATTTCTATCAGTTGTTGGTGCGTCTGTTTGCTTCTCCTCTTCAATCAACAGTCTCCTTTCCAATTCAGTAATCCATTCAAATGTCTTGCCATTGTCCAAACTGATGTTGCTCTTTCAAACCTTACAGCTGTGTGCTGAGCAATCCTTGTGATACACCCGTTAGAGAGGTCAGAGTCAAATCATGTGTGCTTCTTTGGTGGTCACTTGAAGGTCTTCCCTAAAGTTATACACAGGACCTCCCAAAGACTCAGTTCTTCATAGTGTCCAAGGAAACATGCCTTCTACTTAATTTTTTTTTGGTATATACCAACTTTTATCATGCTGTGCAATAGCTTTGCTGTGCTTGTTAAAATAAACTTCATGCTTCCTCTTCCCATCGTTGCATCTAGAATCTGACCCAAAATGATTTGAGTCAGAAGGAGCCTTTAAAGATAATCTAGTTCCATCCTCCCTGCCATGGACAAGGACAGGGAACTCCCCCTAAACCAGGTTGCTCAAATTTGCATCCAACCTAGCCTTGAACACTTCCAGGGATGGGGCATTCACAGCTTCTCTGGGCAACCTGTTCATGTGTGTACTTGCTGAATTGTGTTTAGTTGTGACACATCGAAACTCGTGCATGTGTTTGTAGTTCCACCCAAATAACTAATAATCATAAAATGCTTAAAATTTGTGAATTACTGAGAACCAAATGGGAGTTTGGCTAACAGCTTCAAAAGGTCATCATTTTGTGTAATTGATGTTGAGCATGTAGGTGCCATAGAGGTAGATCCAAGCAGTAAATAAAACATGGGAGCTATCAAATGGCATTATCCTAGCATCTGACCAGTCTCCTGTGTTATTCCTTAGATTGAAATCAGCTTTCAACTTTGTTTATGTCCTGCTGAGAGATGCACAGCAGGCAGGAGGGCAGCTTGCTATATATTTCCTTTTTTTTTCCCACCAAGTTTTATGTTAAGACTTGTTCAATCCATTACGGTTACTAGGGACAAAGAAAGTGAATTTGATAGGATCAAGGCTACCTGTGGCAACTTGGTCTGCTCTCTGACTGCTGTGTTGGAACACCAACCCCTGAGAAGTATGCTCTTCTATATTCTTGTGAAGAGCTGGTTGAATCAGTG